CTCTCATGGCTCGACCATATGCATTCATTTCCCGGTTCTTGTCTCTCTTCAAGAGGCCATGAATGTACTTATGGTCCTTCATCCTTGTTGGAACTGCTTGCTGCATCAGCTAGTTCCCATCAGTTCAGTTAAGTCAGGAAATATCTAAAAAATACTCCTTACGTTTCAAAATATTTGTAGTTTTAGGTTATTTTCTATGTTTTAAAATATTTGTAGTTTTATATTTTCAAGACATTTTTTTATAATAGTTTCCAATTTTATCCCTACAAAATTCCAATACATTATTAATGATTACATTGTTTTTATCATCAAATAAGGGTTTATGTGACTTTTAATCCATTTTCTTAAAAAATGTGAAACAATTTAAAATAACAAATATTTTAAAACGGATGGAGTAATAAAATATTAAAGAAATATTTGTAATATATACATATACTTGCATACACATCTATACATATATATGTATTATGTATGCATGTATATGTGTATAAAATATATATATTATAATTTTTTTTGATTTATTATTATTCTATTTAAATTTTATTTATAATTTATTTAAAAAATATTTAATGATGTGGCAGTCGACGTGATAAAGTTAAAAATGTTAGAATCAATCGTTAATATTTTTAACCCCGTTGAGTTTTGAAAAATAAAAATAAAATTTTTGTAAGGTTAGTACGAATATGAGAATCGGATATGTGATTGTGTCATCTAATCAGAACGTGGAGGATCTTCGTTTCAGCCCTTATATATATAAGTAATTTTAGGTATTAAAATGCAACCAAAAACAAAAGAAGAGGAAAAAAATGTATTAGATTGCAAGGAAAAAGGGCCATGATTTTTCTTATGGTAATTAATTTTAACGGATTATATGGATTTTGGAAAATATGCATAAAATTAGAGATAACCATTTTAGTTATTAACCAAATAGTCCAATCGAATAAGACATAATTATAACATAATCGAATTCGATAAAAATATCGAACGGTTATGATTTCTCTAAACAAAAAAATTGAAATCGAACTGAACCAATTAAAAAAAATAGCCAAAAAAACCGATAATTTTTTTGAAAAAAATGAGTTTTTTACAACAAAAAATCGAATCGAATCAAAGTTTATATAAAAATAGAATGATTATAATTTTTCTATAATCGAAATAACCAAACTCGAATATAATCAAACGAAACCAGAAATCTGAATTGATTATCTTTATTATATAAAAAAATATTATATTGTTGGACCCCACCAAAGGTTTCATAACCATCACCTTTGTCGCACATCAAAAGAAAAACCTAATTAACGTTTCATTTTGTGTTTTTTTTTTCAGTTTCACTTCTGTCCTCTTAATGCTTCAGTCTTGGGTTTGTGTCCGATCATGGTCGCTTTGCCAGAGAACTTGAAAGATTAGGGTTTTGTTAGATATGAACCCTTTTTTGACAGATGAATCTAAGCTAAAAGACCCAGCTGGGCGAGTGGTCAACAGATGGATGCAAAGTACTCAGAGGTTGGCGGTTCGATTCCTGGTTGGGAAGGGGGTCCGGTGAACTTACGGATTATCAAAAAAAAAAATCTAAGCTAAAAGGAAATCAGGTTATAATCCCATTCATTCCATTTTTCATTTTTTTTATAACGGTAAAAATTTAAGTACAACCCTTCAAATACATGGAACACGTAAAAATGACAAACTCGCATAGAAGCGGTGTTGAACCCGCGACCTCTTGTAAAATCTTGATAGAGTGGTGTTGAACCCGCAACCCCTTGTAAAATCTTGAGCTCTCAAAACCAATTCACCGGATCCCGAAGGGCTCGCTTTTTTTTTCCTTTCTTAATTAGTGATGTTGAAAGAAACTTGTGTTTTTGAAATTCCTTTTGATCAACCAAACCACCCACTCTTCCCCCAACTTACGGACCAAAGCAAAATCCATAAATCCTTTTGCAAATTAATCACGTTTTCTCCATTTTTTTTTAATTAAAAATAATATTTCATGAGACCCACCTGGGGAGCGAGAGAGTCAGGTTTCTCCTACTGTTTTTTTTCTTTCCTTCTTTCTGATTCAAAGTTGTCATGTTTCACGTCAGTCGTTGACCATGACATAGAGAGCGACATCATCATCCCTTTCAGTTGATTAATTCAATTGTTTGAGGGATTCTCATTGACCGCATTCTATTTGGCTTCGATGATAACCATTCGATGTTTATGTTGGATTTAGCTTGGTTTCGATTCGGTTTTATTGATAAAAATATTTATTTTTCATTTTTTCGATTGATTTTTATTCCACTAGAGTTTGGTTTTTTTCGGATCTAAATTTATCATTACTATTAAATTTTTATATTGGATTCGGTTCGATTATAGTTACACCTTGTTCGATCAGAATCGGTTTGACTATCCGGTTATGATGAACCAAATCGGTCGGGTCTAATGGAAGCCGCACCGATTTTAAGCGGAGAGAAAGGGTGTCATTGGGGAGAGGAAAATGATATTTCAATGTCATGTTTAGGCTTGTCTTCTCTCTCCCTACCAATACTTTGTTATTTGACTAAAGAATCCTCTTACATGACAGCTCTCTCCTCTTTACCAAACAACCTTAAATTTTTTTAAAAAAAATTACGACAAGAAATTCAAAGAACGTACTTATTATTTACAGCTCTCTATAATTTTATCTGTTTTTTTTTTATCATGATATCTAAATATTTTACCATACCCATCTAGATTATCGTTTTAATCTCAAATTTATATTATTTATATACAATCATATAAAGAGTAGACGACAAATTAATTTTATTATTTTGGTCTAATACGTCCATCCAAAATTAAATTTGATCCTTGAAAATAAAACAATATCTCGAAAACAAATTTTATTCAACAAAACTTGTGGCAGAGGTCGAGTAGACAGGTCGAATCCTTAATTAGGTCCATTGCATATGAAAAACGACGTTCGCATCTGTCGTTTTCACGTCAAAGGCCATAGATACTTGGAGATGGCGTGACGTGGATATTCAAGGCAATACTCTCCACAACAATAAGTAAGACTTATTATTATTTTTGGACCGACTGTTTAATTAGTGATAAAATGAGGCTTGACTCCTCTATATAACAAGTACATAGCTATTGCCCACTTCTCTCACGGCTTTTAATTCCTTCGTAATGAATTTTTCTTTCTCTGCAGCTCTTTCTTTGTTCTTCGCCTCGGTGTTTCTGATCGTTGGTTATGCTTCTGTCCGGAAATCGGAAGAAAGAAGAAGGAAATGTGAAGGTGGCGACTCGGGCATGCCGGAACCTTCGGGAGCTTTGCCCTTGATCGGCCATCTCCATCTTCTTCGCGGTAAAGATCTCGTCTTTAAGAAGTTTGCCGCCATGTCCGATAAGCTCGGCCCTATCTTCTCTCTTAAGATAGGGACCTACAGATTGGTGGTCGTGAGCGATTCGGAAACCGCTAGAGAATGTTTCACGGCTAGTGACCAGGTTTTAGCCAACAGACCGAACATATCCTTGGGCCGTTATGTCGGATATAACAACGCGATCCTCGCTCTAGCGCCCTATGGAGACTACTGGCGTGAGCTGCGGAAGATCACCACCATCCATCTCTTCTCCAATCATCGGATAGAGATGCTCGGCCACGTCCGTTTATCCGAAGTGAACGCGTTTATCAAACACTTGTACACTACTACTATGGAGAGAGGCAGCTCCGTGGTCGGGATGGACACGTTATTGGAGTTCATGACGTTTAACTCGATCCTTAAGAAATTGGTCGGGAAGAGGATCGAGTATGGGGAAGTGGAATGTGAGGAATGGCGGTATAAGAAAGCGATAAAGCAGGCGGAGCACTTGGCTGGTATTTTCATGGTGGGGGATGCGATTCCATGGCTAGAATGGTTAGATTTTGCTAAAGTATCTTCCATGAAGAACACTGCAAAGGAGCTCGATGCGGTGATCTCGAAGTGGCTCCAAGAACATCTCGAGAAAAGATCGGGAAACGGAAACGATGAGATGGGTCTTGACCAGGACAAGACTATCATGGATCTACTGATCGATGTCTTGCCCGAGGATGTTGTAATGTCTGGCCACACCCGCGATACCATTGTCAAGGCAACTATTTTGGTAAATTATAGCTCTTTTTCATTGATAATTAATTGTTCATCCTTGCTTACCAGCCTGAAGGTGGTGGCAGACAAGAATTCAGCATCTAACCATTCGTGATATGTTGCAGATTCTTACAGTAACAGGTTCAGACAGCACATTCATCACTCTGATATGGACAGTGTCCTTATTACTGAACAACCCGAGCGTTTTGAAAACCGCGCAAGATGAGATCGACGTTATCGTCGGAAAAGGAAGATGGGTCGAAGAATCCGACGTAAGAAACCTCAAGTTCTTACAAGCTATCATCAAGGAAACTCACCGGCTTTACCCACCTGCTCCTCTTACAGGTAACAGATCCGAAACCCTAATCGAAAAATCTCAAACTTGTAGCTAGCCATCGATCATGGCTATTGATGATTCTTGATGAACAGGGATCAGAGAAGCTAGCGAGGATTGTTATGTGGGTGGATACCGTATAACCAAAGGCACCCGTCTACTCATAAACTTATGGAAACTTCACCGGGATCCCAAGATTTGGCCAGAGCCTGAAGTTTTCAGACCAGAGAGGTTTATGGTGGAGGAGACGAAGGGATGGGACAAGAGTGGTTACGAATACATTCCCTTCAGTTCGGGGCGGAGGTCGTGTCCGGGCATGAACCTCGGCCTACGAGTCGTTTACTTGGTGCTTGCTCGGTTGCTTCAGGGATTTGAGCTACGGAGAGTTTCGGATGAACCACTGGACATGGCCGAAGGGCCTGGTCTTGCTCTGCCTAAAGTTGAACCGGTTGAAGTTTCGGTTATGCCCCGTCTTGAACCGGATCTGTACCAGGTTATCTGAACCGGTCATTTGTTGTATTCTAGATTCATGATATCTTGTTTGTGGTGCTGGTGGGTGGCGTGATGTTTTATGCGGTTGAAGTTTCGGTCTTGAACCGGAGTTATACCGGATTATATTAACCGGTCGTTTGCTATATTTCCGGTTCATGAAATGTTCTCTGTGGTGTGGATGGACGTGATGTTTAATGCGCTAAGGAAAATAATCGACAAACCTAAAAATAACCTTTTAATTTTCACACTTACAAAAAAAATTTTCTACTTAAAATTATTTATAAATAACCATCAACTATTAATTTTGAATAAAAAAGACTATAAACTATATAAATTATTTAAAATCAATTTCTCACTTTAAAATTGTTATAAAAAATATCAACTATCAATTTTAATAAAAACAATTATCATCTATCTAAATTACTCAAAAAAAATAATGTTTACATTTATTATACAAATCTATAAAATTTAAATAGAAAATATATAGAAATAATTCTAGAAGTACAAGAAAAATATAATATTTTAATATTTAATATTTATATAAATATTATAAACATCAATCTATTTATAATAATATATAAATATTATACTTAAAATTGAGTATATAATAATATGTAAATATTATAATTTTTATATATAATATTATAAATTGAGTATATTTTATTTGTTATAGATTTTTATATTTAGAATGAAATATTTTTTATAACTTCAAATCGTTGATGATTTTGAAATTATTATAGAAATCTATGAAAAAAAGTTAGTTGTTATAAAAAATAAAATTAATAGTTTGCAACCATTGAAATACTAAAATGTTATAATGTGATAAATTTAAATAAATATTATGTTTTTATTGTGTCTTTAGGATTATATAATTTATATATGTTTTCTAGCTAAATTTAATAAATTTTTAAAATAAATATAAAACATTATATGTTTTGAGTAATTTAGATAGATAATAATTTTTTTTATTAAAATTAATCATTGATAGTTCTTTATAACAAATTTAAAATAGAAAATTAGTTTTAAATAATTTATATAGTTGATGATTTTTTTTTGCTCTAAAATAATAGTTGATGGTTTTTTATAATTAATTTGAAGTAGAAGAATTTTTTGGTGTAAGTGTAATAGTTGGAGGTTTTTTTAGGTTTGTGCGGGAAAATAATAAAAAAGAAAATTTAAGAATAAACTAAGAGTAATAAAAAAAAACAATCAAACAAAAAAAGAATTTTGGAGGTTTGTGTAATATATTAAATAGTAGAATATTTTTTTTTTAAATAACTGATCACACATTCAAGTGTGGTAAATTACTACACAAAATAAGATAACAGATGAATAAATAAATTCGGAAACCTTGTTCTATTATTTTTGGGTAAAAAATCTTTTAAAAGAGATTGATATTGATGATGATGAGGATGATGATGATGATGATGATGATGATGGGGATTATAAAATAGGATTTCTATGATAAAAATACCCATTTTGTTAGCAAAAAAGGCAGAATATCCGCACTCTTATATTTCCAAATAATGATATTAGACATTAAATATTAATAATGGAAAAAAAAGACATTAAATATTAATACAAGCTTTTAAAATAATCAAATCCGATATTTATTTTTCCATAAATAGGCACCTAAAGTCAAAAAAGATCTCTTACACGTGTCGGACTATTATTGGATAAAAAATATCAGAGACCATTGATGCCACGTCAATGATCGCATGCCCTCGTCGTGTCTACAAACGTCTCCTCCTCTATCTCCACTCTCAGCAACGCATCAAAAAATGCTCCGACACATGCACACATAGACAGAGAGAGCGAGAGAGAGAGAGAGGGGTTTTTACCACCGTCGGTTTCGTCGTTTCTCTCTCTAGAAATCGAAGAAGAAGGAGAAGAAGAAGGACAATGGGGAAGAGAAGAGGAGTATCAGCAGTGAACGTGCTTTTCGCATGGCAGAAAAGGTTGTCGAAAAAGGTTAAGACAGCTCTAGGAATCATCCTGTCTCTGCTCCTTGTCGTGTCTCTGAGATTCACAGTGAAGAATCACAACCACTTCTTCGTCGCCTCCGAATCCATTCACGCCGCCGGAATCTTTGTTCTGATCTATAAACTCACCCGCCAAAAGACCTGCTCCGGTAACACCATCTCCTTTTCTTTTTCATGATTCTCAAATCTTTTTCGAAATTTATTTCGTGGGTTTGTGATTGAGATAGTGATCCGTTGGAAATCGTTTGTTGATTCATCATGTGTAGTGTAATGTGATTTATCATGGAGTTCTTAAGGTTGAATGCTAAGTTTTTCAATGTACTGATGGGTTTATGAAGGTTATAATGGAGATTCAAGAGTTTTATTCTCTCAAAATCATGAAATTACGAATGAAATTATGTTCTTGGGCATGAAAAGTTTGGATCTTTTGTTCACCCCAAAGCTCAATAGTGATCTTCCTTTGGATTTCTTCATGCAAAATTCAGACACACAGGCGCACACACACACACACACACATATATGTATATATATATATGATGCAATGCATTTTCCAAAAGGGTGTTTCCTCACTACTTAAAAAGTTATTGCTTTGGATGAAACATTGTGTAGGTCTTTCTTTGAAGTCTCAAGAGGTCACTGCAATATTTCTTGCTGTGAGGTTGATGTGCAGTCTAACCATGGAAGGAGACATCCATACATTTCTCGATTTCGCCACCTTTGTATCGACTCTATGGGTTATTTATATGATTCGGTATAAGCTCAACTCGTCCTACGTCAAGGAGCTCGACAATTTCCCCATCTACTATCTGGTAATATGATGTCTCTGTTTCATTCGAAAACACGTCCAAGAGAAACCGAGATGATTCACCGTTGCTTTCGAATGGGTTCAAGTGAATTTTTTTTCCATTCGTTCAGGTTGTGCCATCTGCTATCCTCGCATTTCTTATCAATCCTACTGCTCCGTATCATTACATCGTTCGTGTCATGTGGGCGTTCTGCGTTTACTCAGAATCCGTCTCTGTTTTGCCTCAGCTTCGTTTGATGCAAAATGCCAAGGTACCATAGCAAAAGATTCTTGTCTCGTGGCAAAAACATGTGTAATTCGTATCTTTTGATCGTATTTCATATATGTTCGAACATTATGTTCTTGAGCAATCATCGGTTTATTGTTGTGTTATTACTCATATGTTTTCATCCCGTGTCAGATGATAGAGCCATTCACAGCTCACTATGTATTCGCCCTTGGGATCGCCAGGTTCTTGGCATGTGCTCATTGGCTTATCCGGGCAAGTTCTTCCTTCTTCCTAGTCTTTGAAACTGAACAGTCTAGTTCGCGAAACACGTTGGGTAGGGGTGGGAATAAAATCCGATTTTTGTGGACCTGACCCTCGACCCACGGGTAAGGTATCCGAACACTATATGACTATTTGAGATTGAAACCAGGTTATAAAGTGAGGAGAACCCAGAAATCGGGTTCGAATGAGGGTAATCGGGTCCAAGATCGGGTATTAACGCCGGTACTTAAGAACCATAAAATGACATTTTTGCCCCTAGATTTTAGGGAGATTATGCATGAACTACTGAAATCTCTTGAAATTTTGAGTTTGGGTTTGGATAGTCCGAAAATTTTGAATACATGATCTGAGTCAATTCTTAATATATGATATATATATATATATATATATATTATATATTGAAAAAAAAACGAAAATTTGTATATAAACTTGGATTTGGGTATCTAATGGTAGCCAAAAATGATCTCGGGTATCCAAAATGATCCGAGAGCGAGTAATCGGAAAATCTCGGATATCCGATCATACCCCTCCCTAATGAGTCGCTGAAACTAGTGTTTCGGAATGCAGGTCTACGAGACGAGAGGACGCTACCTATGGCTTATCGGGGCGGGTTACTTTTGGTTTCCGGCCGCTCTGTTATCCGAGGTCGTCCAGACGTTCATCCTCGCCGACTTCTGTTACTACTATGTCAAAAGGTAACATCTTCGCCTCTTTTTTCACCGTTCTCGAAGAAGTTTCACGCAATCCGATCATACACAGATCGGTTTTTTGCCCGAACGATGAGCCGATCATTGCGATATCGGATTTTGTTTTCTGTGATGTGGATTTTATGAATGATTTTTGCAGTGCCATGGAAGGACAGCTTGTCCTGAAGATGCCGGTTTAGATGAACAATGAGTGTTGTTTTTCTCTTCTCTTTGTTATGAGCTGCAACACAAACTAACTGTTGAAAAAAAAAAATTAGCGACTTGCTTAGTTTTCTGTCAAATCTTTTTTCCTTGATAATTTAAAAGTTAAAAAACCATTTTTTGTTTACATGGCTTAGTTTGATTAACCCTAAAATTATTCTTCACATTAATTAATTCCTTAATTTACAATTCGGTTGATTTTGATATATAAACTAGAGAAAAAAAAACAAAAAGTTTTTTAGTATTGATCTTTACAAAAAAAAATATATATATTTTTGAAAGTGATTTTTTGTACGGTTTTTGACATTTATTTTAAGTTACTAATAAATTTTTTTTTATTTGCAATTCTAATATTTGATTGACAAGTGTTTCCTATTTAAATATGCTATTGATACATAAATAAACAACAAATCAAAAAATATTGTCTAACCAAATCCTCAGTTTTTTTATCTTTACTATAAAATTATATTTCCTATTAAATTTCAAATCAATTTTCATGTCTCGACCACATCTAGTCTAATAAAATAATAAAGTTTCGTTTTTAGCATATAGGACTAAAGAAAAATAAAATGAAAAAACAAAATAACTTCTCATGCGAAAAGGAACAAAAACGAAGGGGCCTCGTACGGACAATGATAACTTTGCCTTTTAGCTTTTGCACTCGCTCTCGCTCTCACTCCCGCGACTGTTCGGGAATTCATCTGTAAAACCCTAGACAGCGAGCTACAACAGCAGTGATAGAACCGGAAAGTCGCCGATCGGATTCTCGGTTCATCGCCTTCTTCTTCGAGAAGATTCTAGGTAAGCTCTGCTTCGCTCTCTTTGTCGTTTTCTCGCCTAAGTCTCTTCGAGGTTTTGCATCCATTGTCCCTTTCGTCGTTTTTGTGTTTTATACGTACTATGTTAATCCAGAGTGTTGTAGCACTTTAGATCGGTGCCATGCAGTTCAGATTTCTGCTGGTTTCTTCGCTATTTCTGTGAATCTTCGTTGCATTTTCGTTTTTCCATTCTCAATTTCAGAGTCTTAAGTTGATTTAAGCCGAAATAGATCCTCGACTTCTTTCTTCCGGTGAAAATGGCTTCCGGAAGAAAAGTTGGTCGTTCAGTTGAGCTTTCTACAGAAACTGAAGGTTTTTCTTTGATTTTTTTTCCAGATCGAGGAATTTTTCCTCATTTCAAGTTTTTGTTGCGAGACTTAGAGTTGATAAAAATGGGCTGTTTGGTTCTTGTTAGGGTTTCTATGCTTCGATCAATGTGCCTTACTTTATAGATCATGTGGTTAAAATCTCGACATTAATATCACTGGTTCCGAGTTCTAACCTCATCGATGGTGGATTCTGTTTTGCAGGAGATCAGTAGGCAATGGAGACGCTAGTGGCTCAACAAGTTCCAGCTGCAACTTGCACTCCTGATATTGTATGATCCGTTCTTTACAGAAAATAAGACAAATTAATGCAGATGAAGTGTTTGCTATTTTATGTTGATTTATGCAGGCTGTCATTTTATTAAAAGTGTTTTTTTCTTCCTTCCTTTGTAGGTCGGAAATGCATTTGTTCATCAGTATTATCACATATTGCATCAATCCCCTGAGCATGTTCACAGGTTTTATCAGGATATTAGCAAGTTAGGCCGGCCTGAAGAGAACGGTATAATGGGCATCACATCGACCTTACAAGTGAGCTTATTATCTCCTCTTCTGCCTTTTTGGCTCACCCTTTGAAGTTCTTTAAGTTGATTTAACTCCCGAGTAATACACAATCGAGCATTTCTGTCATATTTGTTAACATGGAAAGCATTTGGGAAGAAAATTTGTGTTTGTGTCAACTGTCAACTTCTTGAATTGTCTCTGAAGAAAAAGTTTTTGAGATTTGGGATCTCGCTGTACCTAAGTATGCATATATTTCGAACAGGATATTGACAAGAAGATATTGTCACTTGGTTATGGAGTAATCGGTGCGGAGATAACAACGGTGGACACTCAAGAATCTCACAGTGGAGGGGTTCTCGTACTGGTGACTGGGTATCTAACTGAAAAGGACAACATCAGGAGGAAGTTTACACAAACTTTCTTCCTTGCTCCACAGGAGAAAGGCTACTTTGTATTGAATGATATGTTTCGATATGTTGAAGAGGCCTCTGTGTCACTTGGATATCAGATATCTGTGAATGACATCCAAGCTCCTCTTAACCCTGACCAGGGTAAGTTGAATCCCGTACTCGATGTGATAATAGATTTTTGTTTCCTTGATAAGCTGTGGAACAGGATTTTGGTTATAACTAGCCGTTATGAATCTATCACTACTGATCTTGATTGCCCCCTAGATCCATCTGTTGTTCAAGACACTCAAGAGAAAGATTTGGGAGGTAATCTTGCCGTCGAGCAGCAAGGTGTGTTATCAAATGGTGTTAATAATGGGCCTGCGGTGTTCATTCACATAGAGGATGAGCATGTATCAACTGTGGAAGAAGTCCCGGCGCCTGAGATAGTTCATGAAGCTCCTAACGATCTACAGAAGGTTGAGGAATCTGATTCTCAGGCTGAAGATGTACCAAAGCTATCTTACGCATCCATTGTAAGGAACATAATATTTGGTTGGTTGGCTCGCTATATGAATCTGATGCGGCTGTCTGGACTTTCTGCTAGATGATGAGTACTTAAATCTTGATGTATAGGTGAAAGTTATGAAAGAGAATGCTGCTCCAATTTCTCCTTCTAGACCCCCGGCAAAGATGGAACCGAAGAAGCAAGAACAGCTAGTCACTCCTGCTCCTCCTCCAGCCCCACTGTCAGAGAAACCAGATCATGTAACAAATGGAAATGATCAAGATGCTGAAGGTACTTAATATGTTTCTTTGCTTATTATTTGTTTTGTCTGTCCATTGACATTTCCATGACGATAGGTCCATCCGTCTACGTAAAGGGCCTACCGCTTGATGCGACACCGGCCTTGCTTGAGAACGAGTTCAAGAGGTTTGGAGTAATTAGGAGCAATGGAATCCAAGTGAGAAGCCAAAAGGTGAACTCCATTCCCATCACTAAAACAGTTACGTAAAAAGGCATGTATGCGGTTGGTACTCGGTAGTTATTGTTCTTCAAGGATTGGTGCTACAGGGTTTCTGTTTCGGTTTCGTGGAATTCGAATCCGCAAGTTCCGTGCAAAGTGCACTCGAGGTAACAACCAAATCTCTTTCAAACTGTATACGGACACTTCTTTCGAAGTCTTTGTTCATCGATGCTGCGATACTTCCTCTCAGGCATCTCCAATCATGCTTAATGGGAACAGAGTAGTTGTTGAGGAGAAGCGATCCACCTCAAGAGGCAAGTTTTACTTTTTTTTTTTTTTTAACCGAAATCTGTCTTTTTGTTTTCTTTCGAAATTTGAATGGAAATGGGTGTTTTTGAATGTGGGCAGGGAATGGGAGGGGACGATCGGCAAGTGGGGGAGTAGGGATGGGACAGAGAAGCAATAGGGGAAGCTATGGAGGGGGGAGAGGAGGAGGAGAGTTCAATAACAATGGTGGTGGGAGGTATGAGTTAAGCAGCAGCAGGGGAAACAATAGGGGAGGAAACCGTGGTGGGAATGAAAGGTTTCAAAGGTTTAACAATGGCGGTGGCGGTGGTGGGCGTGTAAAACGTGATCACGACGTTACTAAATCCGTGACTGCAACTGCGTAAAAAGGGCATGAGGTTTTGGTAAGTCTTTTAAAGATTATTTCCGGTGGTGGGGGGAGAGATAGATTGATTGTTTTAGAGAGAGTTTAGATCTTAATATTCCCTCGAGTCTTCATATTGTTGTCTTTTTTTTTTTTTTGGTTCTATCAGTTTCGCCTTTTTTGTTATTTTGTGGGGGTGAGACGTGAGGGACTTGGCGGCGTTTTTTTTTTTGGTTGGTTTAATTCGTGATTGATTTGGAGCTCGTGGTTTTAGGGTTAAGCCTTATTCCCTTTTTTGAATCTTAGATTTTGGAATGTAAGACTGGCTATTTTCCTTTCGCCAGATGTATTTAAAATGTTGGTCGTTGAATTATTATGTTTGACTTGGGTGTTTATACATGATGGTGTTCATACTAAAAAATGATCTCATTTTCCTAAATAAACCCCCCAAAAAACCTGCAGTAAAGTTAATATATATCATGAATTTCAAGAGATTATCATGATGTAATCTTTTTTTATATATATATTTTTAAATATTTTATATAAAAATTATAATCTTTATTTTGTTTAAAATTTTTAATTTTTAATTATATTTATAATATTTAAATTTTATTTTTAAAAATTAAAATTTTGGTTAGCGAGCGTTTGAAACTGGATTGGACTGATCAATTTTTGATTTGGATTGGATCAAAACGGGTGGTGGTTGGATCGAGACGGATGAACCCATTTTACACTTGTCCAAATCTCTCTCACATCACCTCCAAGTTACCTGTACAATCTTAAATTCACCCCGCTGAGCTGAGTAATCCAAAATCATGTCCTTTTTTTGGTAGTAGTTGCTGCTTTAACTGAAACGGAAGTAACCGAAAAAAGAAAAGAAAAGACCAGTAAATCTAAACACACTTGTGTTCCGGTGGAGACCCAAGGGCTTACATCCCGACGTGGTAATACCAGCCAAATTAAAAATATGACTACCTCTACGCACAATATATATATATATATATGCCTCTGGAGCTCAAATGATAAACCAATAATAATAATAAGTAAAGAAAGATTTCAGGTACCGAAGTTGCAGGCCTGGACGAAATCGAGGTCGTAGTCGACGTGTTTGGTCCAGAGGGGACGGAACTGGTTCATAGCGATGTCAAGCCAAGGCTTCAAGTTGCCGTTGAAGTGAACGACAGCAGCGTTCCGGATCTCGTCCATGCTGATGCTGGGGTTGTAACCCAACCCAAGCACATGCCATGACTTGTCCAGCGGCTTCGTCGTCGAGTAATACGTTATTAGCCCCGGCGGCAGCGTCCCCAACTTCCACAACGTCCTGTTCTCGTTCTGCCATTTACAATTCACTCAGGTGTCAGCTGTATGTGCTGTGTTCATTTATGAAATTCGTTTTTTATGAAACAAAAAGTCTAGTAGGGGGTGGGCACGGGTTCTCAAATACCACACGACCCACGATTCGGGCACCAGTAACTTTGGATACTCGCCCACATCCACCAGCGGGGCGAATACCCGACGTTTGGATTTGAATCTGTGTTTCAACCGGAGATTACCCGAGTTCTACGGGTACCCGGCCAAAAGAATGGAGGTCAAGAGGAAGCAAACGAGGCCACGAGACATCAAGCCACGAGCGCGAGGTTAAAGGCTTTGTGTTTAGATTGGAGATTTTTGTTTATAAATCCCCAATCTTGGATTAAGGTATCAGAAATTCTACTTCCGAGTCTGGTCCTTACCTCGCTTCGTCGCTCGTCCGTCGCCTGCATCACATAGCCTCCGGCCCTCTGTCGCTCACTCCTTGGCCATCGGGTACAGGTACGTTTCTCTTTCCTCTCTCAGTCGCTCTTCTCTCTTTCCTCACCCCGCATGATCATTCTCTCTTTCCTCTCTCTGCCACATCGATTCACTCCACTTCACAGTCGCACTTTCCTCGCCAACTGGATACAAGAGCCCACATCGGAAATATGTGGGAACAATTGAGTCAATATAATACCATGGGCACCCTCCCCCAATAAGCTAGCTTTTGTGGTGGAGTTAGGACCTAAACCTTATTAATTGGTATCAGAGCCAACCGATCCTCGGACATGCAGACGACGCGGCGGGAGAGGAACGGTCGGGAGAGGAGCACAAAGGGTGCGTAGCCGCCAGCGACCGAGAAGCCGCCAGCGCCGTGGTCGTCGCTGTCTAAAGGGGGCGGTATTGTTAGAGTCCCACATCGGAAATATGTGGGAACAATTGAG